GTTTTTTCACTTTTATTACAATTAAATGGCTCGCAATCAAGTTTGTATGCATGAGTTACAGTCAAATCTGAGTGCCGCGGTTAGAGCAGGATGGATAGCGCTTAGTGATGTGAAAAATCATACATATTTACTAAACACTATTTAAGTACAAAAGTATTTAGCTATTTAGTTTTTAGTGATAATCAAATAAGTATTTTGGATATAACTAAATACTACGTATGAAAGTAATTACATTATTCAAGTTAATGTGTTTACTAATTTTCATAGAACTAAATACATACTGCGTTTAAAACACGAAGTACCGGGAACAAAATTATTTAGTATTTTTAGCTGCGCAGGTATTAACTAAGTACTCATGAATTTACTAAATACTGCATACAAAATTAGTCCCGAGAAGTAAAAAAAATCACGAACAACTCTCGAAATGTTCTGAAAGTCCCAAAACTACTGATAGCCCCGAAATTAGCGAAATAATGCAGAAGTGCCAGAATAGTTTTGAAATTATGAAATATTCCGAAAATATCAAAACCCCAACATCCCAAAAAAATCCCGAAAGGTATAGCACGATGTGCACCGAAAAATACTGAAAATATTAGGTAAAAGTCTGGAAAAAATCTGCCAAATTTTTAAAAAATCTCAAAAAGTAAAACACAAGGAGTACCGAAAGATCTCGAAAAAATCCGAGGAACGTCTTGAAAAGTTTCGTGAATCTCAAAAACCATGAAGCATTCAAATCTACAAAGTAATAAACTAAAATTTATCGACTATTTTTTTTTTGCTGAACCTAAATATTGATGTTGATGCGCAAATGGAGGGAAATACAGTCTTATGCTGCCTCCGAACGGAAAATGGATTTTATGAGAACATTTCTCATGACAGAAATACATTCGGACGTTTGCCATTACCTGCCGAGGGGCGACCGAGTTCGAAACAAATTTTTCTCACTTAGATGTTGCTGGCACTATGGATCAACCTCAGGTCCTACGGAGTACGCAACTCTAACCAATCAGCTTCAACGGCTGTTATTACGCTTGGCAAATATAAGTTTGAGGCGCTCTTCAGAATGCTGTTTTCAGCATTTTTAGTTTGACGTGATACGACAAAAGTTTTGTTTTTGTGGGGAAGTATTAATAATTTTACAACGGAAGATATCATCAAATAAAGAACTTGTAGAAAAACCGATTTAGCTCTTTAAACAGGTCTTCCAGGAAGGAATTCTGTAAGAAAATTAAAAATTAAAATTTGATTAAGAAAAATTCTGTCGAGATCCTGCAGCCCGATCACGTGTTGGCAGATGCAAACCACTTCCTTGAACACGACGGGAATGGAAACAGTTGATTTGCTTCCGGACACACATTTTCCCGTGAGTTCGAAGACAGGGGGCTCTCTGCATCCTCCTTCGGCTGGGGTAGTAAGCGTCAGGTACGTCACTAGGGAGAGGTTTACTTGGGCGATACAAAGCTTCAAGTCCTATGAAACGGCGGGCCGTTTGGGATGCTACACGCGAAACTGGCTGCAATAGTAGGAACCTGTGCAAATTGGCTAATGAACATCTTTATGGCTTGCTTTGAGTCGTCACGACGCGTTGGTATGTACGGCGTTGAGATCTGTCTCCGTTGTCCTTATTCCTAAAGCCGGTAAGGCTGCACATACAAATCCATAGGATGTCAGAACTATCAGCCCTTCTACCTTTGCGCTCAAAATCCTGGATAAGATATTTGGTAGCTTCCTATCTTTCACCATTGACAGTTGACTACTGTCTAACAATCAACATGCCTTGGTCTTGTAGCCTCTCTAGACATTGAGAGAGTTTTTAAAAACATAAATTCAGAGGTCATAACATAGGCCTTGAGGTGGACGATTCTCTGGTGGAGTTTATATATGGCAGCTGTTCTTTTGCAGAATAATCACGGCAAACGTCGCGACGCGTAGGTGAGAACTCGGCTTCAAGGTATGTACGTGACAAGGGGCACGCTGCAGGGTGGCGAACTCTCCACTTCTTTGGAACTTAGCCGGGAACTCTCTCTGGCGAGAGACGAAATAGCGAAGCGCCAGGGTTTTTGCTTATGCTGATGAGGGCACTTCCCGATGTTTTAAGAATTCGGAGAAAGTTCAAATCATTCTCTTTACGTTTAGATACAAGACACCGCTACCGACTCCGCCGGAACTAAAAGAGCGTCTTTTAAGCTCTACAAACAAATCAGGCGTCGTTCTTGCCAGAAACCTGAGTTGGAGGGAGATGTTAGTCCAGCGTTCTGAGACAGTCTCTGTGGAGCTATATACGTACAAGAGGCCATTGGTGAGAAATGGGGGTTCAATCCGAGTATATGCTGCTGGATTTATACAAGGGTGGTTGAACCGAATCTCCATTTTGCGACTTTTTAATTACATAAATGAACATCACCTGTACTTACGGCTATGTATTTGATTTTTTGTGCATTTGTCAGTCGTCAGCAGCACAACACGAATTTTATGCAGCCACTGTGCAGCAAATGCAGACAACGATGAAGCAATTGAATGATTTTCTTTCTTACTTTCTTCCTTTTATGCTTTTAAGTTTTTATTTGCTTCTACGATTTTTGCTATTATTTTGATTTTCATTTCGATTTTATTGCTCATTTCATAGCCAACCGAACCTGCTGCTGTCCGCATTGTCTTTCGTCCACTTCATGACTTGTTGCTGGTTGCAAGCTGCACATTAAAAGCTTATCGCAAAGTAGGGCAGTTTGTATGTGTGTGTGTGCGTGTGTGTGGTTATTTCTACGCTTAATGCCGCAAGTTAAATGCTTCCTTTTCCGACTTTGCTTGTGATGGACAGCACTTTAAATCATTGAAGAGTCGGAAATCATTCCTGCAATTGAGGGCGAAGTAAAAGAGATACGATTTTTGCAAAAAATAATAAATTGATAGGGCGATGCGTTTTAGCTCAGTAGTCAGTGTCGATTTTTTTCATTACTTTAGCTTCATTTGTTCCTGTCAGATGCTACAACTTTTCAGGTTTTTTTTTTATTAATTTTTCTTTGAAATACTGCAAAAATTGCAACTTTAGATGAATTCCAATGCCAAGCATTAATCATTTGAGCTTGAAGTAAATTAATGAGCTTACATATGTATGTGTTGAAATGCTTAAGACACATGCACTTACATAGGTGAGCTTTCATACATTCACACACCCACATTTGTACATAAAAATATTACTCATACGCCGCGGTTGGTTATATGAAGAATAAATCGTTATTAATTACACAGTTGGAAAGTTTGACATAAATTGATGGATTTTGTAATGCACGAAAGCTCCTCATACTTGCAATGCTTTATACGATAATTAAAAGTTTCAACTAAAGTTTGCACTATCTAAATACATAGGTATGTAAATATGAGTTTCTGGCAAAGGAACCCATATTCGTTCCGTATAATTTGAGTGAATAAAATTATATGCATAAATGACAAAACGCGCTCTACAAAATGTGAATGAAAAATCAACATCGGAACTGATTTCGAGACTCTTAACCCTTTCAGTATGTTTTTATAATTAATACATATAATAATATGGTTACAGGCCGATGTCTGCACATTAAAGAGCAATAGAAGCCACATCGAAAATTTTTAGAATTTTTGTTTGTCTATCTGTCTGTATGTTTGTACGCGCTTCACTCAAAAAATTTATGCAAGGAATTGAACACAGTTTCTTTCCACCGCTGTATTGCCAGAAGTCTAACTTAAAACATAAAAAGAAAAAAAACAAGAGAGTTGCCACCTGTTTGAAAATTTCAGTTTAAGTAAATTGATAAGTTGAAGTAAATTTTGCAAAATGGCTGTCAAAAGAAAAAGCTTTTAGAAAGTATTTTTGTCGAAGGTTGCCACCTGTTCGCAAATTTTAATTTAACTTAATTGATAAGATAAAATCTAAACGTACAGATATTAAAATTGTAATAGGCCGATGTCTGTACATTTTAGATATTAAAGAAAAATTTATATAAAGGGTCTTTATGTTTGTATGTATGTTTGTATGTGCACCACTCGAAAACTAAATCAGAGAATTGAATGCAGTTTTCACCGATATATTGCTAAAGGACTAACTTCAAATATAAAGAATTTGGGAGTTGCCACCAGTTTGAAATTTTCAGTTTATGTATATTTATAAGATAAAATAAATATTGCAAAATGGCTGTTAAAAGTAACTGCTTAAGAAGCCTTACAGCAGAAAATATTTTTGTAGAAAGTTGCCACCTCTTTGAAAATTTTAATTTAACTTAATTGAAACGATAAATTAAATATTGGAATATGGGTATCAAATTAAAGATATTTAGGAAATTTTACTGCTGGAAATATATTTGAGGAAGGTTACCACCTGTTTTGAAAGATTTGACTCAGTTACATTGATAAAATAAATGAAATATTATAATACGAGTATCAAACAAAGGTGGTTTCAGAAAGTTAACTGTAAAAATTATTTTTGAAGCGGGTTGCCGACTATTTGAAAAACTCAATTCAGTAAATTTGATTGGTTAAGCTAAATATCACGATGTGTGTATCAAACGAAAGTATTTGGGAAATCCTTGTTTTAGCAATATTTACAAAACAAAAGGATTTCCGCTTTTATGGAAGATAAATATACGATGTTTGAAAGTAAGTTCGAAAATTGTACTTGATAAAGCTCTTTAAATCTATTTAATTTTTTACGTAATTTTTAATACAATTTCGTATTCGGTATTTAGAAAGTAGTTAAAGTACCGACTTTCCTCTGGATTTATTTTATTTATTTATAAGTTTTGGAAGTGAGTAACAACACAAAAATTCTTTTAAGTCGCAGCGTAGCACACCGGGTTTCTGCTAGCTAGTTTTATTTAAAAAACTGTAGAAAAAATATTTTCGCCATTTTTTATTTTGATTGTGGAGGGCAAAATAATTTTTCATTGCCTTTTTACCAAAGAAATATTATTTGAAACTGAAAATTGAATATCTTTCAAAAAATCTGCAACTTTGCTTTTAAATCTTACCTTAATAAATATAAGCACTCCCGCTTGAGTAAATTAGTTGAAATCTGCAATTAAAAGGGAAACAGTTAAAATTATAGTCGACGTTTTGCTTTGATATTAATTTGTACATATGTTTAGACAAGGTAGTGTTAAAATATTTTCGTTTTCAAGTGAAATAATACTAATCCGAAAATTCTTTTGAATGCATTTTTACAAAGTGACTAAATACTCGCATATACATATATATGTATATCTTTACCTAGATACGTAGATTTATATTAGCAACAAAACAGTTTAGTCTACGCAAAAATCCTTTGCTGTCAGTTTGCACCATACAACACTCACCACATGAATAGTTTTAATAATCAAAGCACAAATATACATATATATACGTATGCACATACAGTGACTCAAATAAGTGTGTGCATGTTGTTTTTTTTTTAATATTCACAATGTTTTTTCAAGTCTGTGAAAATATTGTTCATGCATTAACTAAAACCATAGAAATCAATGTTCCAAGCTTTATAGGAAATTCAAAAAAATTTAAAAAAATTTTCGTATTTTCTAAACTGAATTTTTAGTATTGTGGGTATGCTTATACAATTTTAGTGCAAAGTGCATGTTTGAAGCAGCTAATTTTTATAAAATTAGGTTAAAAAGTTTGAAATTTTGATAAATTTATTTTTGAAGTTTTCTAAATTTTGAATAAAGTTTGAAAATTCGTTTTATATGACTTAGGTTAGAGCATGAATAGTATTTGTATTAAAAAATAATAAAAAAATTTTAATTAGAAAAGCATTGTAACTATGTATGTGAACACTTGCTTGAGCCACTGTGTGTCTGTGTAGACATGATCTTTCAACGCAACCGTGCGCGAGCAAAGTCAACTTTATATAACGGGTGATTTTTTAAGAGCTTGATAACTTTTTTTTTAAAAAAAACGCATAAAATTTGCAAAATCTCATCGGTTCTTTATTTGAAACGTTAGATTGGTCCATGACATTTACTTTTTGAAGATAATTTCATTTAAATGTTGACCGCGGCTGCGTCTTAGGTGGTCCATTCGGAAAGTCCAATTTTGGGCAACTTTTTCGAGCATTTCGGCCGGAATAGCCCGAATTTCTTCGGAAATGTTGTCTTCCAAAGCTGGAATAGTTGCTGGCTTATTTCTGTAGACTTTAGACTTGACGTAGCCCCACAAAAAATAGTCTAAAGGCGTCAAATCGCATGATCTTGGTGGCCAACTTACCGGTCCATTTCTTGAGATGAATTGTTCTCCGAAGTTTTCCCTCAAAATGGCCATAGAATCGCGAGCTGTGTGGCATGTAGCGCCATCTTGTTGAAACCACATGTCAACCAAGTTCAGTTCTTCCATTTTTGGCAACAAAAAGTTTGTTAGCATCGAACGATAGCGATCGCCATTCACCGTAACGTTGCGTCCAACAGCATCTTAAAAAATACGGTCCAATGATTCCACCAGCGTACAAACCACACCAAACAGTGCATTTTTCGGGATGCATGGGCAGTTCTTGAACGGCTTCTGGTTGCTCTTCACTCCAAATGCGGCAATTTTGCTTATTTACGAAGCCATTCAACCAGAAATGAGCCTCATCGCTGAACAAAATTTGTCGATAAAAAAGCGGATTTTCTGCCAACTTTTCTAGGGCCCATTCACTGAAAATTCGACGTTGTGGCAGATCGTTCGGCTTCAGTTCTTGCACGAGCTGTATTTTATACGGTTTTACACCAAGATCTTTGCGTAAAATCTTCCATGTGGTCGAATAACACAAACCCAATTGCTGCGAACGGCGACGAATCGACATTTCACGGTCTTCAGCAACACTCTCAGAAACAGACGCAATATTCTCTTCTGTACGCACTGTACGCATTCGTGTGGTTGGTTTAATGTCCAATAAAGTAAACTGAGTGCGAAACTTGGTCACAATCGCATTAATTGTTTGCTCACTTGGTCGATTATGTAGACCATAAATCGGACGTAAAGCGCGAAACACATTTCGAACCGAACACTGATTTTGGTAATAAAATTCAATGATTTGCAAGCGTTGCTCGTTAGTAAGTCTATTCATGATGAAATTTCAAAGCATACTGAGCATCTTTCTCTTTGACACCATGTCTGAAATCCCACGTGATCTGTCAAATACTAATGCATGAAAATCCTAACCTCAAAAAAATCACCCGTTACAAGTACATCAGAACATCGTTATATATATATACGTAGGTATGTTCATAGCATATACGAGTACAGTGTGTAAATATATATGTATGTATGTACATATATGCACCTAGCAAAAAGTTGCCTCTTGCTTTTAAGCCAAGCCGGCATAGAATTGCTGAAGCACTCGCACACACGGCTGAATGGCGAAAAATACATAAATAAACAAACAAAAAAATCGAGCACTTGAGTTTGTAAACAACTTTTTTGCACACATGTGTGTGAGTGTGTATGTATGTACGTATGTAGTGCTATCATTTTTTTATACTTACTGTCAGTTCTCTCTTTTTTTATCATTTTTCACCTTACCGTTTGCTTATGTATGACCTCTTTGAGGTTTGTTTTGTTTCTATTCATTACTGTTCACTGAGCTGTGCTAAACTAATTATAGCGATGCTGCATACGTTCGTTATTTCTGTACCAGCACACACACACACACGCGTGCGCGCCATGCCACATGCCACATATGTATGTATGTAGTACACTGCATGCAAAATGTTGCATGCACATTAATTTGCTGCCACAGACATTTGTCTGTTTGTGTTAGTGTTTGCATGCACAAGCATTTATACATACATACAAAACAAACATGCATGTGTGAATAAGCTAATGCCTTCTTTCTACCTTCATATAAATTTATTTGCGCAACATTCTATGCCATTGCATCGCTGCAGGCGTCTGTTGGAGGTTACTAGTTTGTAGTTGTGAGTGCGTTGCTTGAGAGAGGAGGCGCTCTAAATCAAATGCAGTGTAAACATTTGCTTGTTTGCTTGCTTTGTGCAGTTATGAATATGCGAATGTTGCGGAAAAGATTTATTAAAAGGTGCAACTATCCTTAAAGACTGCCACTTTCGTTTGTGGCTTTGAATTTTATTTTTCGAATTACATTATAAATGTAGTAAATTTATTTTTGTGGTTTAATCGTTTGCTCCGGGGAATCTCATCTCTTGTGGATATCATGTTTTCTCTGTGTAGTTTCTTAAGCCAAAGTACTGGTAATAAAACGGCAAGTAATGGAAGAAAGATGACAAGATAACTCGAAAAACTTTTATTATTCTAGCACAATTATCTAAGAAAAAACTTTCTCATTCACCATTGGTGGTGAAAAGCTTTTGTATATAGTTTAGCTCGCGTCGATCCCACAATCGAAATGGCCGAGTGAGCAATGAACAGGCATGAGAGATCCGGGTTCGAGTCCTCGAACAGCGGATTATTTTTTTCTATTTTTAAATTTAAATTTTTATTCGTTTTTATTTTTTAATTAAATTTGCTTTCAAATTGTCGATTTAATTAAAAAAAAATAAAATTTTTTTTTTTTTTTATTTAGTTCAACTTTTAGAAACTTATTTTATTTATTTTTTTTGAATTAAATTTGGTTTTCCTTTTGCTAATTTTCTTTAGTTTTTAAATTTTATTGTTAAAAAAAAAGTATATAATTTAAAATTTTGGATCTTATTTTATTGATGTTTTGTTTGATTTTCTTCTTTTTTAATTTAATTTAATTTTTATTTTTAGATTTTGTTTTGAAAATAAAAATATATATTTTTAAATTTTATTTAATTTTTGGGTAGACCGCTCTAAAAAGTTAATTTTTGGTTTATAGATTTTTTAAAGCAACCATTTGTTTGGCAACAAAAAGAAGCCTGAGCTCAATTTGTTTACGGGTATTCCCCGAATTTCTTTTTGTCGTGAGCGTTTGAATTTGTGAGTTGTGTATTGTTGTGGTGAAAACTAAGTCATTGAAATCCCTGTTATGTCCTAAAAACTATGTTTATTATTATATTTTTTTAAATTTTGAAAGGCGCTTAGAAATGTTAATAATTCCAAAAGCTAATCACCCTTGGGACATTCCAGTTCACTTTTTTGAAATTCTACTGTACTATTTTCTACTTTTTTGATAAATTTTTTTTCATTAGTTTGAATTTTTGATTTTATTGTTTTAAGAAGAATAAGAAAATATCATTTTAATTCCATTTATTTTTTAAAAATATTTTTTATTTATTTACAAAGAGAATACTTTCGTAGTTTGAACACTACGTTCTAACTAAAACCTCTTCATTCAACTTCGACTCAGCCGAGAAGAGTTTTACTTTGCGCTGTGAAATTAGGCATTTTCCCAAAAATGCCCGTGTAAATTGATAACCCAATCGTGTGATAGAAAAATCTTGGAAACAATTTTTTGTTTTCATTTGTCAATTAAACATCAAATTGTAACACAATCGTGGGACTGATAAACTAATTTTCATCCTAATTCTTAGTTTGTACCAATAGGCCACAATGAAAAATTTTACAAACTTGTCTTGCTCGGAAAATTTTACTGATTCAAAGCCATTTTCTCATGTACGATTTAAAATTTATCTACCCGTTAAACATAAATTTTGTTCTGACAAAATGTGTTTGAAGGGCAGATAAATTTTAAAACCTACATACATGAGAAAACGGCACTTAAATAACCAAATATTCTGCCGCTCAATTTGATAGCAAATATTTTTAATTACCTTAAAACTATTGGCAATTAGCGCATATCACTTTTGATTTGTTTCCCGTCTATTGTATTTATAACGTTTTGAGGAGACAGAAATTCTCTGCATAATTTCAGTGAAAAGTATTACGCTACGGCTAATTGCTTTCGGGTTATCGCTTGCTATTTTTTAACCGACTAAAATAAAGGAGGAGGTTTTCTGTAACTTCTTTCCAATTTGTTTTGATCAAATTCGTGGATACATGTCGCAGAGTATAAAAAATGGCATTTTTTGTCACTTAAAAATTACCCTTAACAAAAATTTTTAAATTTTTCTCTTGATTGAAATCAGTTTGCAATGAACTTTTTGG